TGAAGTTGTTTGGGTTGCCAAAACATTATAAATTTTGTATTTTTATACCAAAAAAATACTTCAAATTAAAACAATAAATAAATATACATTTTATTTAATTATTATCACAAGCGTGTTCTTCAAGTACAATCAACTCAAGTACAAAGAAAATTCGACACATATAATTTTAGTCTTATATATGGAGTATATAATTTCGTCCGTCAGCCTCTAAAGGCCACACTTATTTTTGTGAGTCATTATACTTAACATTAAAAATATCTTTATATTTGTATAATTTTTTGTACAAATTTTCTTCAATTAGTATTATAAGACACCAATCAAAGTATTTATGCAATTTTTTCTTAATTTGTTTTACTTTTTGATATAATAATTAATATTCAAATATCAACATGTAAAAAATAAATGAGACCCTTGAAGCCGGACGGAGATAATATATAATTTTATCTTATTTTGATTTTTAAATATAATATGGGTCTCTTCGATTCCTGTTATGATTTTAAAATTTGATTTAGATAGTAATTGAATATATTAGTTTATTTAAAAAATAGGTAGTTATATAATATAATATCAAATTAGTATTTAAATCAAAATTAAAATACAATTAAACATTAAAATTCAAAAAATAATCCCAAAGAAAAGAATGCATTAATAAAAAAAAAAAATAACCCTACAAACTTCTCATTATATAATTAGTGCATTGGGAATACAATTTTTAAAATGGGAACCACAAATGTAAAAATAAAATTAAAAGGTTGTGGGGACTATATAATTAAAGCTATGGTATTTGTTTTTTATGATTCCAATGCTGCAATAAATATGTGTAATTCTGATCCCATCACCATGGTTACCTTTAATAAATACTCGTTCCGTCTCACATAATATGTTCCTATTTTTTATTTTCGTCTGTCTTATATAATTTATTCTTTCTATTTTTAGAAATATAATTATGCACTTTAATCGCATTTTAAATTTTAAATTTTAAATTTTTATAACTTTTTTAATTTTAATTAAATTATTTAGTTATCTTAATCATAATCTATAATTATTTTTACTAAATAATAATTATTTTTACTAATACACTTCTTAATTATTTACTAATTATACTTTATCTAAATTGTTGTATCTACAGTAATAAGCCCGAAATATGTGGGAATAGAGAGTATGTTTTAAAGTTATTTTGGAGTTTTCACTTTATTTTAAAAGTATTAAATTGAAAATTAATATTTAATATAATACATGTGTAAAAGTTTTTTTTTTGGGATATATAGTATTATTTTAGAAAATAGCTGTTTTTATAGTTAAATAAGTTAAAAATATGTACTCCCTCCATCATGCAAATGTATGCTCATTTGATCGGTATAAATTTTAATAAAAGTGAATAATAATTGTTAATTTTTTCTTTTATAGTAAAAAATAGTACAAAAATTGAATGGTTTTTTACTTAAAAAAGAAATAAAAATATTTTTTGATGACAACTCAAAAAAGAAAATGAGCATAAATTTGAATGACGGATGAAGTATTTGATACCATCAACTTATTGGTGTGGTAGTAAAATTGAAAAAACTGAAATTTTCAACAAATTAAAATAGTTTATTTTCAATGACAAATAAAACGATTCATTTCACCTCACATCCTATTTGATTCTATTTAATTTTGCTACACTTTCACTACATTTTTTAATATTTATGTAGTGATTTTTTCATTGAACTTGTTTTAAAAGATTTTTATACAATATTTAATTATGGATTCTTGAATTTTCAGCTTACTTCTTGAAATTACGAGTTAACTGAAAAAAAATCTTTCAATTTTTTGTTTTGGCATATGGTCAAAACTTTTTTTTACTTGTAGTGCAACCATTGCCGTCATAATTCAAAAATAGTAAGGACTATACTTGTTGTAGACACTCACAACAAATGTGAACTATTTTGCCTCATTGGTTCAGATATGAAATAAAGACAAAAATGTTGTATGAGATTAGTCAAACTAATGTCGGATATGTGGAAAAACATCTAATACCAATTATGCGCAAAGATAATTAATTTGCATCGATTTTCATGATCAACAAAGAGCTGTATAACCGGTATGGTAACAAAAGATTGGTTGTGAGTAAAGTTTGAGAGCAGAGAAATTGTTATTTGAGGCTCTCATCCTTATCCCCTCCTACCTCTATGTACTGAAATGTTGTTTATGACTTTATCCCGCCGGATGAATCGCTAGAGTAAAGTGTTACCGTAGTTCCAACTAGAGGAGATGACCAAACTCCGAGCTGCCTTATTTTGTAGTTATTGTCCATACGCGTTTGTAAAGAGTGTGTTGAGAGGTTTTGTGGTTGTTTTAGTTATGTAATCAGGATTGATTATAGTAGAACTTCTCCCGGATGTAGGTTGGTTTATAATCGAACCGGGTTATCAAATATATTTTCTCATTTATTGTTTTGGAGTTATGCATTTATTTCATTGGCAATGTGTTATTATTAATATGAACTAACCACGCTTCATGGAGTTGATATTTAGTTGATATTCGAAGGAGGTTTGGTCGAGCAATATTTTCCAACCTTTAAACGAAGCGGTTACCCTCTTCGAAATTTCGAACAAGCTATGCAAATTTGTTTTATCATTTTAGTTGATCTTTGATGGTTTTAAGGGGTGATAGTCAGTGGCGACAGACTAAGAGTGAGAGGAGGATGTTTTGAAATTAAACCTGTATAATAAAATAATTTTAGAGTATATAAATAGATAGCATATATTTATATAAACTCGATGATTCAATATAATATTTTCTCCGCCCATTTGGTAAGTATCCATTTTGCTATGTTCTATTATTCAAAGAAAAAATATTTATTTATTTTAGTCAGTATGAACCTTGCTACATATTACATATCTTTATATTTATATTTATTTACATTAGTAACCTCACAATAACTTGATACATTATAAGGGTAAAATAATTTTTACATATAAAATTATCATCAACTATTACTAAAATATAATATTTATTAAAATTTTGTACAAAAAGTAAATATATACTTATAAAATAGATGAAAAGAATATATTTATTACATAAACTTCTTATTCCAAGAGTAAAATTGTAAAATAGGTAGTATGAAGTGACTCATAAATATTTTGCAAAAATAGAATCATCAATTATGGAATAACTTATCTAAGTCTTACTTAATAATAAAATATGGAATAATTTTTAATTAATAACAGATTTGTTTTGTTTTGTTTTTTTTTTTTTTTGGTATAGAATTCTATTATTATTTCAGATTTTTTTTTATTGATTTTTTTTTTAATGTGAAATTTGCAGCCACTGCTGTTTAAATACACTCTTGATAAATTCGCAGTTGAACCTAATAATCTGTAAATTAGACATAGGTACGGCAGGACAAGTCACGTTGAACCACTATATGTTGATAAAAAAATGCCTAATAATTTTTAAATAATGATAGTCTATTTTTTACAAATATCTTTGCTGAATATAATTATATTATACAAATTAATTTTTATTTTTATTTCATAAATTAGAAGATGCCGATTAATGTGTAGTCTTTAACTAAAAATTTTATTATATTTTTCAAAATATTGTGTTAAATACTTCATTCAAGACCTAAAATATTTTCAATTTTTTGGTACAAATTTTAATATAAATGTATATTTTTTTGTTATTTTTTATTATTAAAATTTATAAAAATTTAGTATAATTGTTTTACTAAAAATAAAACAGAGATATTTTCGGATGAAAAAAAATGATCACATTTTTATGTGCCAAAGAAAATTTTATTTTTCATAAATTTTGGAACTGTAAACAGTAAATAATAAATTAATGAATAGTTTACAAAAAAAATAATAAATGAGAGGAAATTAATCCCTAGCTATTTCTCTAGCAAAATATAATTTTCAACTCCTAAAAATAAATAATTTATTGAAAGTAATAACAAAAACGGTAGTTTTAAAAAATTAATTATTAATTAAAAATAATATAATAAAAATTATAGTATATATAATGGATTTGTTCACTAGTACTTCTATTGAAATGACTTTTCAAATAATATAATATACATATATTAATATAATATACTTTATTCGTATAAAATTATAGTTTTAATTGAGTTGAGTATGACATTTAAGAAATATTAATATTATATCGGTAATTGATAAATAATATAGATAAAAGATTTTTTTTGCTCTTGTGAGTGTATTAGTGTAAAAAATAGTGGCAATTGTGTAATAAAAATAAAAAAATAGTGGTAATTTTATGGTGATATGATTATTTATGAAAATAAGATTATTATTTTAGAACGAAAAAAAATGATAAACAAAACTACTGTATTGGGACGAAAGGAGTATATAATATATATATTTTTATCTCTTCGTAAAAAGTTAACAATATAATAAGTATATGTATTTATTATTGGCTCAAATTTTTTTAAAAAATAATAATATATTTTTTTTTATAGAAGTGATAATTAAAAATAGTGTAAAAATAATTTTGCTATTATTTTTTTCTAATGCAAATATAATGATGTGATGATAAAATAAATATATTTGTGAAAAAAATATAATATTTAATAAAATAATTATTTTTTAATTAACAAATTTAAATTAGAAATATATATTTTCTAGTGGTAGAGACGAAGAAAGTATTATTTTTTATATTTTCAATAATTTTTCATATATAATATTAAAAATATATATAAAAAGTGAAGAAATTCAATTTCAATGAAATCTAATAATTAAATATTAAACTTTTTAGTTTGCTAAATTCAGCGATAAGAATAGATTTGAAGCAATACATATAAAGGGAAAGGAGGGGGAAAATGTAAATAATCCTAAGATGAGAGGCGAAGTATAATTTCCGGGAAAATTTGAGAGGGGGGCTTTTGAAAATAATGAATTATGATTAATAGAATAATGAGAGCAAATCATGAGGCAAATCCCAGTATTAATTAACATCCCTCCCTTATCATTTATTTATTTTATATATCAGACTCAGACTCGGACTCAGACTCAGACTCCCCACGTCTTTATATAATCCGCCATTTCAGTTTCTCCTTCTCCTCATCATCATCAGTTACTTCTTTCCATATATTTCTCTGCTCATTTGATTTTTTCTCCACAAATTTCCTCTCCCCATCGCTAATGTCTTTTTCTCCGATCTACAATTCAGTTTAGTTGAATTTAGTTGCAGGATTTCTAGGTTTCTTACGGATCTCAAATGCAGCCTGTGAGCAGAGAATTCGCCGCCATGGCAAACATCAATCCGCTGCTCAGCCACCACCAGATGCAGGAATACCATCACAGTCAAGTTCCGCATATGCTGGCGGCGGCGGCGCAGTTCGATACGGCGGCGGCGGTGTCGCACGATGATTTTCTAGAGCAAATGCTATCGTCTGTGCCGACCTCCTCCGCTTCCTTCCCTTGGGCAGATGAGCATGCTCCGCCGCAGATGGAGGAGCAGTCCGCGGCGGTGTTGGCGTCGAAACTGAGGCAGCATCAGATCAGCAGCGGCGCTGCTAAGGCGTTGATGCTTCAGCAGCACATGTTGCTCTCCGGCGGTCTCCGCTCTCCCGTCGGAGGCGACGGCGGCCTCCTTTCGATGCCGCATGATGATCACAACGATGGCGTTGATGGAGCCTCCTTCAAGTCGGCTAATCCGGTCAGTTTTTAATTTGAACTGCAATTGAAATGGAGAAGGATATGGCGAGGAAGTTGTTCCTCTTTTTGTGGAATAATTGTTGGAATTAATTAACTGTATATGAACAAATTTTCTGGTGATTACATTCAGGCAAATGATGCATCCGTTAAAGCTCTCTTCAATGGCTTCACTGGATCCCTCGGTCAAACATCGAATCAACCACAGCATTTCCATAATCCTCAGGTATTGTAACGTGCTTCACTTCGCAATATCTCGATTCAACATTTCCATTCTCAAATCTTAAGGAAAATTGAAATTACAATCTATGGAGTGATTCAACAGTCTATTATCACGCAGGTTCAAAGTTTCAATTCTACCGGCGCAGCGTCTGCTGCAGCACCGGCGATGAACCATCCTGCTGCGAGCGGTTCAAGCGGCGGAGCAGCAGCGGCGCAGCCGCGTCAGAGGGTGAGGGCGAGAAGAGGACAGGCCACCGACCCTCACAGCATCGCCGAAAGGGTGAGTATGTAAAGTAACGTCTGCCATAACAGTACAAATTCAGTTTCCACCATTTCTCTTTCCTTTTTCCCCCAAAATTAATTATCAATCATGCTCCTGATTCGTTAGTTTCTGATCTGTTGCGGTGATTTTGAAATGTGAGCAGTTACGAAGAGAGAGGATTGCGGAGAGGATGAAGGCACTGCAGGAGCTCGTACCGAACGCCAATAAGGTCATTTCACACTGCTCCATTACCACCCACCATTAAAACCTCTACTGATTGAAATCAAGCTGCTCTAATTCAACGTCTCTTAACAATTAATTTCAAAATCAACTCTCACCGTTTCATCGATTTCTTAAACATTTCCAATTAATTTACCAAATTGATTAGGGTTTACGCTGTTTAATTTAGGTCTTAAACAAGATTTATTTTATAGCTAAAACACGAATTGCAATCTGACACTGAATCTGAATCATTAATTAGTAAACAAATTCAGCAGAGTTAATCTTAATCACATGTGGGGGGTGCCCATTGGGTGATTGAGAATGAATTAGGTGGGGACTTTGCAGGGCTGGAAAGCATATAATTATAGAGGAATCATATCATAATCAGCTGATAAATAAGTAATCATCAAAGATTTGTTAAATTAGTTCGAAGCACAATTATTTAATCATGATTCCAAACTAAAGTAATTAGTGGCTTGATCATATATACATTATACTATTACATGATAGAAAATTAAAAGCGATGCTGTGATGATACTAACAGTTTTTTGTTATTGAAATGACAGACAGACAAAGCATCCATGCTCGATGAGATCATCGACTATGTTAAATTCCTCCAGCTACAAGTCAAAGTACAACTCTCCTTCCCCTCTCCATTACAGAATTAAATAATATATCAAAAGTGGCGGATTGCGTCACATCATCAATAGTAATCCCTGTTAAATTCTTTGGTTAATGATTCTTTTGTGTTCACAATTTGGGATGGGGTTAATAATCCCAATAAGATTTTGTGACATTTCTTGCAAATGGTTCAAGATTTGAGGGTGTATAATTTTTTTAGATAATATAAACGACATCATCTAATATGGATGGTATCAGAGCTTTAAGTTTCGACCGTTTATCTATGTTTAGGTGCTGGTGAATCGATCATTTATATTTACATCATGTAATAAATTTGTTGTCTGTGACAGGTTCTAAGCATGAGCAGATTGGGAGGTGCTGCAGCTGTAGCTCCTCTTGTTGCTGATATGTCATCTGATCAGGTAATATTCGTTCCCCATCAAAATTTAGTAGTGTTCTGTTCTTCTTCTTATTATTATTATTCTCATCTAAAATAGGTAGAAAGCAACAAAACATTTCAGGTAGAAAAAGCAAAAACAAACATGAGAGAAATTGATAGAATTAAATTTGAAGTAGGGTAGGGCGGGCAGCCCCACATCTGCCCCCAAAATTCTGCATCATCACAAAACAACAAAACCGTAAAGTATCACGCGTGTCCCTTTTCAGATTCCATCAACCTCACTTGTCCTTCAAACCCACCAGATAGGAAATCCCTATTCTGTCCCCGCCTTTTAAGTGGGGTGGGGGCATAGTGATAAAATTGATTGTTTTCTTACACGATAGGATGTATCATATGTGCTTGTTTGCCACAACGAAATTTCAGGGACGGAACGGTAACGGCGCGACGCAAACGGCGTCATCCTCGAATAACGATGGGATGACGGTAACGGAGCACCAGGTGGCGAAGCTGATGGAGGAGGACATGGGTTCCGCCATGCAGTATCTTCAGGGAAAGGGTCTCTGCCTTATGCCTATCTCCCTCGCCACCGCCATCTCCACCGCCACCTCTCACTCCGCCAGAAAACCACCCCACGCCGCCGCCGCCGCCGCCGCCAACAACCCCCTTCTCGCCGCCGACGCCGGAGGCCCCACTTCTCCCAGCATGTCCGTTTTGACCGTACAGTCCGCCGCCATTGGCGGCGGCTGCGGCGAACACTCCCTTAAAGACGCCGCCTCCGTTTCCAAACCGTGAAGTTAACGGAAAAGGGTAAAGTGAGAGAAGTGTAAAAAGACCAAAAAGGATAAGATAAAAAGGTGGGGTGGGGGTGGGGTGTCGTTTTATCTCTCTACTTATTTTTTTTAGCCGTCAAGTGACTCAAGTCTACCGAAATAAGTATTTTATTTTATTTTATTTTTTTTAATATATATATTTGTGGAATACTTTTTATGATTAATTTAAAAGTATAATATTATTTCAAGAGTGTACGACACGGCGCCGTATTTGTGTGGACTTGGAATTTCTCAAATGGGCCCGATTTGACCCGACCGGACCCAACTAACCATAAGTGTATTAAAATTGTGCTTCTTTTGGGCCTATATATAAATAAAGCACCCGCAGCGCGCTACGCCGCTTGATTAAGCGACCAATAAATCGTCTGGATGAATGGTTGTTCAGCCGTTTTAAGGGATTGGATGGTGATCGCTTGATTGGACGATCGGTGAATCGTTAGGACGAATGGTTGTTCAGTCGTTTGAAGGGACTGAATGGTGGTCACTCGAGTAGGCGACTGATTAGTCGTTTGGTCTAGTGACCAGTTAGTATCTGAATTGGTCGGTTGGTCAATCGTTGGATTATTCGGTAGGTTCAGTCGGTGGATGGTCACATATATATGAGGAGTGGTACGGATGACTACCTGTTATTACGTAAATGTCCTTACTACTGTAATATTTGTTATTTTAGACAATTCTACTTACTGGTAATATTGTAGTGGAGTATGGGTAAGTTGGTCAATTAACCTCACTGTTGTCAGTTATACTGGGGATATTGGGAGTTGTTGAGATTTGTGTTTTTCCAATTTCATTAGTTAATTTGTAGTGATTTAGTCGTAGAAAATATATTGATATGGATATCATTTTGTAGATCGTCAAATTTATTTTAATACAATAATTTAGTTATAATATTTTAAATCTATGATATTGTTGAGCAAAACATAATAATAATGTATAGGACTTATAAATTGGATTGATGTATAGTCCAATGGGCCTGATAACGGAGGTTGGTCAAAAGAGGAAGTCAAGCGAAGAAGGATGAGACGGCCGATACGGAGGTCGGTCGAAAGAGAAAGTCGGACGAAGAAGGATGAGACGGCCGATACGAAGGTCGGTCGAAAGGGGAAGTCGGACGAAGAAGGATGAGACGGCCGATACAGAGGTCGGTCGAAGAGGAAGTCGGGCGAAAAAGGATGAGACGGCCGATATGGAGGTCGGCTGAAAGAGGAAGTCGGGCGAAGAAGGATGAGACGGCTGATACGGAGGTCGGTCGAAAGAGGAAGTCGGGCGAAGAAGGACGAGACGGCTGATACGGAGGTCGGTACGGAGGTCAGTCGAAAGAGGAAATCGGGTGAAGAAGGATGAGACGGCCGATACGGAAGTCGGCCGAAAGAGGAAGTCGGGCGAAGAAGGATGAGACGGCAGATACGGAGGTCGGTCGAAAGGAAAGGTCTATTAATTGGTCGTTTAATTAGGCGGTTTGTTAATCGCCTGATCGATTAGCCGGTGACTTGATCAAACAGTAGTTCAGTTGCTTGAAAGGGCGGTCAGTTGGTCGCTTGATTGGGCGACCAATGAATCGTCTGGACGAATGGTTGTTCGGCCGTTTGAAGGGACTGGATGATGGTCGCTTGATTAGGCAACCAATGAATCGTCTGGACGAATGGGTGATCGGCCGTCTCATCTTTCTTCTCCCGACTTTATTTTGTTGGACCTCCGTATCGGCCGTCTCATCTTTCTTCGCCCGACTTCATTTAAGACCCTACTACCATTATCAGGTCCATTGGACTATACATTAATCCAATTTATAAGTCAATTCTCAAGAAACCCTATACATTGGTTTTTTCTTACTCAACAGTAAAATAATGAAAAAAGTGGGAGACCGAATTGATCGGATGGAATGACGAGAGAAATAAATAGAATGAATTATAAAAGTATATTTTAAAGAGCCAACACTGGAGAGTCGGTTGGCCTGAAATGGGAAGGATTGAAGACCACCGTCCAGGGGAAAGTCGGTTAGTGATAACAGTTTATTTTGACATATTTTATAGTTTATTTTTATTTAATTAATGTACAGGGTTTTCGAGAAAGAGCTTAGGGTTGTGGACTGGTGTATGGTTCAATGGGCCTGTTAATGACAGTGGGATCCTAAATGGGTCTCAATATAAGCCAAACGGCCCAAGTGTTATTAAAAAATGAGTTTTTTCGGGAGAAACCTGTGATTAAGATGAAACGGCCGATACGGAGGTCGGTCAAAAGGAAGACGGGCAAAGAAAGATGAGACAACCGATACAGAGATCGGACAAAAGGAAGTCGGGGAAGAAAGATGAGACGGCCAATACGGAGGTCGGTAAAAAAGGAAGTGGGCTTCTAAAGGCTCATTCGAAGGAAAGGCCAGGTAATCGGTCGCCTGATTAGGCGTCCTATTAACCATGTGAGTGAATGGTTGGTCGTTTGGTCAGACGGCGGTTTGGTCGTTTGAAAGGTCGGTCGGTTGGTCGCTTGATGGTGCGATTAAATGAATTGTTTGGTCGACTGATTGGTTGGTCGTTTGGACGGACGGGTGTTCAGCCGTTTGAAGGGACTGGTGGTGGTCGCTTGATTGGGCGGTCAATTGGGCTTGATTGGGCGATCGATTAAATCGTTTGGACGGATGATTGTTCAGCGGATTGAAAGGACTGGATGGTGGTCGCTTAATTGGGCAATCGATGAATCATCTGGACGAATGGTTGTTCAGCCGTTTGAAGGGACAGAATGGTGGTCGCTCGAGTGAGCGACTGATTAGTCGTTTGGTCTAGCGACTAGTTAGTATCTGGATTGGTCGGTTGGTCAATCGTTGGGTTATTCGGTAAGTCCATTTAAAGAGGTAAGGTGCCCAGAGGCGGTCGATCGGTCGAGCCTGTTGGGTTCTGTAACTGGTGGGGGCGGTTGGTGAAACAGTTAAAACACGTGTCAATGGAGGAGGAATTAGTGGGCGGTTGAAAAGAAATTTGGACAAAGGGCAAAATAGGTAATTCAAATACGTGTCAATGGAGAAAGAATTAGTGGATGATTGAAAATAAATTTAGACAAATGGCAAAATAGGTAATTCAGGTGTCAAAACCCTGCCACCATTAGTATATATCAGTAATAATATACATAAAGTATTAGTCTTTTTGCTCATTCGGTTACGTTGCGTTTGGTCCAAATTCCATTTACATACAAAAACGACAACGATGTTATGTTTGTAATAATTCAAGAATGATTTTAATATAAACATTGTCTTGCTTGATGTCGTTTAATATGCCACATCACTTTTTTATTATATAATATATATATAAATATATTTAAGATTAAATATATTACAATTGTAATAAATAAATAAATTAATTAATTAATTTAATTTTGATGAACATGAGTGCACGTCGTTTTTGAGACAAGGACATGTCACTGAGAATCAAATAAATATTAGACACGAGATTTTGTTATGCGGAAAGATAAAAGGAATAAAGAATTTCCCCTTTTTATTTTATTTGTGGTTGGTGTTTACTTGAATTTATTTTATTTTATTTTTCAATCAGTGTTCTTTCGATTAGATTAATGATTAATAACATAATTTTTTTTAATCAGTGGAATTTTAGTTTATTAGGTTTGGTTGATTTTAATAATTCGAACATAGCTAACTAATGATACACTGTTTTTGTTTATTTGTAGTTATATACAACAATCATATACTCCATATACAATGAAACAATGCGTTTGCACATATAATATAATTTTCAATAAATATTATAAAAATATATTATTCAAATGCACTTGTATAATATATAATATATATTTCATTTATTTATAAAAATTTTAATACAATATATATATTTATATTACTGATATAATTCTGCCGTACACACGTAATATAAAAAACATATACACTAAAATACACAAAATGAATATACTCATTATAATATAACCACACATAAAGTATAAGTGTACAGTGTATATATGACTTATAACTTGATAATAGAAGATGTATTTTAACATATTGTGCAAATATACGTTGTTATTTTAACAAGCAATATATTATATTTTGGTAGTTATCTTATTCAAGAGATTCGTAGAATTTTTATTTTATTTAAATAATTTGTATATCATTATAAATATATACGTATTCTTATAATTGAAATAGAGAATTTCAGTTTTATATTTTAATATGGTATCAGAGCCAAATTCTCTCCGCGTACATCTATGACTCGTTATATCATATACATATTTTTATATTTTATTGATGTATCTGTTTATATTCACGGTCACGTTATTTATTTTTATGTCGACTACGTCTCTACTACTCCACTGACAGAGTATACTTTCGACTCTAACGCCGTTGAAAGTCCTGTTTTCGACTCTAACTCTATTGAGAGTGAGAGAGTCATGTTTCCGAGTCTAGCTCTGTTGTGGGCAAGCAAGTCTTATTTCCGATTCTAGTTCTATTAAGAGTAAGTGAGTCCTGTTTTCGACTCTAGTTCCGTTGTGAGCGAGCGAGTCTTGTTTCCAACTCTAACGATGTTGAGATTTCTGCTTTTGACTTTGATCCTGACTACATCACTTTCAGTCAATCTTGGCGAATTCAAATTCATACATAGAAGATCTCGGCTATATCTTTTTCGGTCACTTCTGACAAACTCAAGTTTGTTCGATCTTATATCGAGTTTGAGGAGAGATGTTAAAATATATTTAAAAAAATATATTATATTTATGATATTTATCTTATTTAAGAGATTCGTAGGATTCTTGCCTTATTTAGATGATTTGTATATAACTATAAATATGTACGTATTCTTATGATTAAAATAAAAAATTTCAGTTTTATATTCTAATATATATAAACATAACACAGTTATAAATTGACAATATTTGTCAGCAGTATAAAATTTATATTAACATAAGTCATATGAATCATATAAACTAATACAATTATATACAATGTTGTTTATATATTAGAATATTTATCTTTTATAATTTTATTTTTTCATTATGATAAATAATACAAAATGAATTCAACTAATACAAGCATATTCGAGAAAATTTTATTTTAAATATTATCATAAATAATTATTTTACTTTAAAAATATTGAATATTTTTTTTAAAAAAATAATATATCATCCGTTGTAAAAATATGTTCATTTCCTTTGTAGTGAGCACAAATACAAAGAAAATAAATGATTTTTTCAGAGA